TTGCTGTTCAGATGCCACTGAGTCGGCTCGGACACACAGTGACCCTGTGTAGAGCAGAATGAAACACTGCCCAGTCCTGCACCATCCTCAGTCTTTGCTATGCTTGAGCTCATCACTGCAGCCACTGTGTCAACCCATCTCATTAAGGGTCTTCTTTTTCACTGACCCTCTTTTACCCAGTATGATGTCCTTCTTCAGGAACTGCTATCACACACTTAATAGACTGCAGCATAGTGTAAACATAACTTTTATACGCATTCCGACTGACCTGAACTCACTGCTGTTGAGTCAGATCTGACTCATAGCTACCCTTCCTTGGGTTTCTGAGGCGGTATCACTACAGAAGTAGGAAACCAAAAAAGTCATGTGACTTGCTTTACTGTGATATTCACTTTATTGTGGTGGTATAGAACTGAACCCGCAATATCTCCGAGGTTTACGAGGTCCTTTGGCCTGATCGACTTGCAAGTTCATATTTCTAAGTATATCAGCTCTGCCCAAAGCAAGGCATAATGGCTCCATCACAATAAAAACTGAGGTAGCTGTCAAAGGGCCCTGGGCCTGACGCAAGCATGGCTACCTTGAGTCTAGAATAAGCACCAGGAGGAAATTTCAACAACATTAAATAAACTGGGAGTGTCATTTGAAATTTCTTTTAAGGTCAGTTCCCCTATACATTCTATGAAGCCTGTGATTAATACTATTTTCAAACGACTTTTGCCTCGTATCTTAGGGTGAGTTCTCTAGAGAAGAAAAACGAGTGAACTTATAAACAGAAATTTATCTCAAGGAAATAGCTCACACAGTGTAGAGGTTGGCAAGTCTTGGGGTCAAATGCCAAACTAGAGGCTTCTCCTGACTCATGTGAGCAGGGGCTCACCAACTCAAGATTGGCAGGCCATAAGACAGCAAGCTGCTGGCTTTGGAGGCTGACAAATCCAAGATTGTCAGGTAAAATGGCAGACTGTTGACTCACAGGCTACGAAGGCAATAATCTCAAGATCTGCAGGCTATGTGGCAGGCCACTCGTTCAAGTCCAGGAGCCAGATATGATGATGGGCCAGACGCAGGATCCAGATCTGGCAGAAAGCCAGAGATCTTTGCCAGGAGATCCATACACTGGCTGTTCATAGCAGGTCTCATCATGGAAGATGACTACTTCCCAACTACTGAGAATCATGGCCCAGCCAAGTTGACACACAACCTTAACTATCACACCTTCCACTAGCTGGGGTACGTGCCGTGGTTCTGCAGGTGCGGATCCTGCCCTAGACTAGCAGGGACGAAAGACATTGCCCATAACTTTGACCCATGGAATCTGCTACGTGCAGCTGAGGCGTTGGAGGTAAAGTCCCAGAGCTACTTTCAGCTTGGGTGAGATTGGGAGAGAGGTTGTCAGGACAAAGTCTTAAAAAGCTTCAGAGAGCATGGTGCTTGAGATAGCTCTTAAAATTGGGAAAGAATTGTTCCACCTCCTACTTTGGCGACTAGCGACTGGGATCTTAAAAGCTAGCAAGCTGCCATGTAGATGCAATGATGGGTCTCTCTTCGTCCAGAGAAAAGAAGAATGAAGAAAACCAAAATTCATGGAAACAATTAGTCCTAGCGACTGGTACACCATCCAATCTGCAGCCTATATAACTATGAGACCAGAAGAAC